TCTACACCATAACAGTCTCGCAAGTTCTTCAACCATGAGGTTCTTTTTCGTCCTGGACTCCGTTTGCCTGCTATTTTTCCTTGCATGATATTTTGTAGCAATCTATATTTGGGACCTCTCATTACATGTCCGAAATATTCCAGCTTTCTCTGCTTGATGCTTTTTATGATCTCAGTAGTCTTGCTGAGACGTTCTAGTAATGTGGAGTTACAAATCTTCTCCACCCAGGAAACTTTTAAAAATTCTTCTATAGCACCACATTTCGCAAAACCTCAAGGCGATTTAGATCGATTTATTCACAGTCCAGGACTCGACAGCATAAAGTAAGACCGAGAACACGTAGCAGCGAAGTAGGCGGATCCTTAATGCCAATTTTAGGTCTCTGTTACATAACACCTTGGACATCCTTCTAAAAGCAGCTCTAGCCTGCTCTATTCTGGATCTAATTTCGCCGTGATTTTCTGCATTACAATTTAATTGCTGTCCAAGGTAGACGATTTTATCAACTTGCTCAAGTTTGGTATTATTTACATATATAGACGGTTTTTATATTCTGTTGTTTACTTATTACGAGTATTTTGGTTTTCCTTATGTTAAGATCCAGACCTGCCTCCCTACAACTCTCAACGACACTATCAAGTAGTGTTTGCAGATCTTCTTGACTAGAAGCTAGGAGTACTGTATCGTCCGCATATCGCAAATTATTGATGACTTCGCCCTTCATAAGTATTCCTTCTTGTTTTTCAGAAAATGCTTTTCTGAAAATTCTTTCGGAGTAAACGTTAACAAGCAGGGGTGATAAGAGGCATCCCTGCCGTACTCATACCATACATTACCCTGCCGTAATTATTATTACTCATAATATTTGCAAGAAAATAAAGTAAAAAATAGGATTTATACGATTTATTCAAATGAGGGTGTTTTACAGGTACAGGTACTGCCTGTACTCTACACACTCCTCCAAACTCAATATATTATAGGCTGTACTACAAATGTGTTTATTTGATCCACCCACTGTACCGTATTCATATTTTAATTAGCTACCTGCAAAGGAGGTTTTCTTTTACAATAATCGTACTGCCTACAAATCGTCTGATTGGTTATTGTTATCAGTACAGTCGAAAACAAGTTATTTACCACCAATATTCGTTATATTATGAGTAATTTGTGGGCATGATACATTAACGAGACCGTTTTTTTACGGCACCGATCACATGATCATGTTTGAAAGTGTTTTTATTTACCTAAACACGTAGAATACATATAGTAAATAATAAATATATAGTTTCACTTAAAAAATGTTTACTCTTTTTCAAAATTATTACATGCTTTAGTTTTTTATTCCAGTTGGGAAATAGTTTTCAAAACACTTTATTAAATTTAAAAACTAATTTATTTCATAGTAGGTACAATGAATACAAGGTATGATACATAATGTTCTAAAATCGGTTCGCGCGTGACGTATTCATTCAATATTTAATCATAAAAAAAATATTTTGTAGTTAATTTAATTTTATAGATTTTTTGGTACTGTTATTTTGTTAACATAGATATCCTTTACAAAAATGTTTTAATTATCTTTTATTACAAATAGGTACAGGTTGATCAACTTATACTCCAGAGTTTGATATTTCAGTTGTTTAAAAAGCTACAAAAAAGTGCTAAAAATGGGTCGAATATAGCTAAAAATTTTAAAACTATTTTCAAAAATACAAGGCATTCCAATTTCTAATTTGTTAATGATCACTTTGTAATTTTGGTACAGAAAATTTATAAGTACATACTGAACTAAAGAGAAAATCAAAATAAATAATGATAAAGTCAACTTAAGATCGGATGAGCTAGCTGGTCATCGATTATAAGTGTAGCGAGGTCACACAATATTGCACAGTACTTTTAGCACTCCATTTTCTTTCCCAGTTCGTTACGTTAACTCTTTTCATATCTTCTTTAACTTCGTTGCTCCATGTTGACTTCGGTCTTCCTCTTCGTCTTTTGCCTACCAATGCACTAGGTAGTACCAATCTGGGAATTTTTAGATGGAATTTCTGCACATGCCCAACCATCTAAGTCTTAAACCTTAATTACCGCTAATATGTTGGGTTCTTAATAGAGCTCCGTTAGCTCGATATTTGTTCTTATCCATTATCCATTTAAGTTTTTGTTGCCAGATTTTGTGCCCCCAACTAATAAAAACTCTCGGTGTTTTTTATTGTGACCCATTTTTCCGAATCATATGTCACTATTGGCCTTATTAGGGCCGTGTTTGTCCTTAGTTTTGCTCTTCAAGATATATTTTTACTTCTTAACAATCCATTATGAGCATATACAGCGCGGTTGCCAGACAAAATTCTTTTCTGTATTTCTTCTTCGCAATTTCCGTGTGAAAACATTTCCCAAGTACTCAAATCTTTTAACTTCCTCGAAATTATATTGTGTTATTTTGCTTTTCATTGTTATCATTGTTAAGTACTGCCCCGAACGAATTGCTTATTTGTAAACTCCATATACTTCGTTTTTGCTTCATTTATATACATTTCCTTAGTTGCTACCCTCTCTTTCAGTTTCCTAACTATTTCCATCAGCTCTAATCAGCCCTAACTATCTCCATTTTCTTCTAGCCAAGATTACCAAGTCGTCCGCAAATGCTAAGCAGTAATATTTTTATGGTGGATCAGACCTATTCTATTCAGTAGCAAAAATTCATTGCAATTTCGACGGCTTGCTTTGAAAACTCCAGCTAGGTATAATAGACCAATTAACGCCATTATTTTCACAGTACCTGTAGGTCTGGCTTCATTCGAATCTGCCTAATTGTTTCTTAGTTTAGAAATAAGTTTGTGTTCTATAAATTAGTTTCGAGAATACTATTATTAATAAAATATTTCCAATACTTTAAACTGTAAAAGATCAACTGCTAAACTAGCATTTCCTTTTGAACCTGGTATATATGAAATGAAATTAGAACTTTTTCTCTGACCTTTTTGGGAGGAGCATGTTTTCTTCAGGATACGCCATCTTTTGCATAATAAAGTGCCGCCGGTTTTCCGTAATTGTTTCAAAATATTTTAAAGTTGCAGGTTCCTCCCCCAATCCTTCCTCTAGTTTTGTTGCCAATTCTTCCACCTATTCTTCTTCTGTTTCTGTATTGTGGTCACTTTTTTCACACTTGTCTTATTCTGGCTGGCTTTTCAAATTAATATAAATATTCTTCTTCTACTTCATCGTACAACTGTTATAATCTTTGAATTTAGTTCAGATAAGGATCCATCACTGAAACCTGAAGTACAAGAGAAAAAAATTAAAGGCTAGAACATTACTATATTTATATATAAGGATTGGAATTTTTTTTTATTGAGTTAATGCCTTGACAACTAATGATCATTGGCATGGTACAGTCAGGTACCTAGTGTAGTGTGTGTGTGTGTGTGTGTGTGTGTGTGTGTGTGTGTGTGTGTCTGTGTGTGTGTGTGTGTGTGTGTGTGTGTGTTTGTGTGTGTGTGTGTGTGTGTGTGTGTGTAGAGTAATTGTCTTGATACTTGACAAAGTCGACGTCATTGTCTTTGCTTCTTCTTCTTACGGTGCCTTATCCTTAAGGACGTTGGCCATTACATTTGCCCATTTAATCTTATTCGTAGCAGCTCTGAATAGTTTTATGGAGGTCATGTTCGTCCATTGCCGTAGGTTTTTAAGCCAAGAGTTGAGTCTTCTTGCTGGTCCTCTTTTGCTATTGAGTTTGCCTTTGATTATAAGTTAGAGCAGTTCATACTTTTGATTTCCTTATGATGTGACCAAAATATTATGTTTTTGTTCTTTTATTATAAGCATAAGCTCTCTTTCCTTATTCATCCTCCGCAAGACTTCCGCATTTGTCGTATGACTCATGTAGGATATTCTGAGCATTTTACGGTAACACCAGAGTTCGAATGCTTGGATTCTTTTTGTGTCGCTTCTGTCATTGTCCAGGCTTCAACACCATAGAGCAAGGTGGAGAAGATATAGCACTTAAGTACTCTAGTTCTCAATGAGATGCCCAGCTGGCAGTTGCATAGAACTTTTTGCATTTTTTAAAACATATTTTGCATATATGTTTTATTATTGTCTTGCATACATATTTATTGTCTTTGCTAAGAGACGCTAATTATATCCGAACGTCTGCGGTCCCTCCGGTGAGTGCCGATCGCACAAGGATAGAAATTATTTTCATTCATTAATTTTTAATAAACGAAAATTTCTCCACCCAGGTGAGATTCGAACTCACGACCTTTAGGTTTAAAGGTAGGCTCTATTACCAATGAGCCACAGAAAGGGTTGGATTGGACTTAAAATACCTACTCTATGTAGGTTATACTTAAAAAAAAATAGGAAAATAAATTTATTTGTCGAACTCAGAAAAGTTACCTGAACAGACCAAAAGTGCAAATAACTATTATAAACTAATGCAAACCCCGGTGTTTACTGTTGCTCGACATGTAGACAAAAAGGTACCGACGAATGCAGCGCATTGCAACATAAAATAACAGTGAGGCATTAGAAATAAATATTCGCTGGTCTCACAGGCCCCACCCGACTACTCAAGGGTTAATTAAGAGGAGACTTTGTACAAGGACTTTATTTATGTTACTATTATTTAGTTCGTTGGTTATTTTTAATCTTGGTAGTTAATTTGGCATGAATTTATTAAAAAATGCATTATTGGTCAAAATTTAAAAAAATATTCACTAGTTCTTCTAAATTTTCTGTAGAACATTGTTTACTAAACTGTGTTTTTGAATTTTGTTTACTAAATTGAACACATAATTATTATAAATTCTAAAAATTTTAAAAATATTTAAGTCACATAAAATATTATACTTAATATTTTAATTTATTTTAAGCGAACTTATTTTAAGCAAAAACGAACTAATTTTAAAATTTACTACCACAATAATTCTAGAATTTACAAATAATTTCTTTGTCCCATTTATCGAACTTCTTCCTTCCTTAACAAATATAAATACCTAGTTGGAATCGGAACTAACCTGAACAAAGTTTGAGGCCTGATCGGCGTCGGTAGGGCGACGAGCGTCGGATGCAGGGGCGTCGAATCGAGCGTCTGCCAAAGTTCGGGACGTCGCAAGGCCGTCGCCGTCGCTTGGTCGGCAGCCAGAAGGGTGAAAGTATGCCAGTGGGCTTGCAGAAGGAGACCCCGAACAGCTTGGACGAGTTCACGACCGGTCGGCGCCAAGTGCACTTCTAACGGACTCGATTCCTGCAATCAAAAAGTTGGCGAATTATAAAATATTATTAAAAATTATATTGAGTCGTAAGCGGAATATGATATTTCTTTTAAGAAAATTCAGTTGGTTTTTAAATATATTATACACAGACAAAAAGTGACATAGTTGATAGCTGTAAGAAAATTTAGTATTGTACTAATAAACAACAAACCGTATTAAAATCAGTTGAATAAAATGAGAAATATCATAAAATAACTTGTCCTTTTAATAATATCTTATGAAAATAATATAACAAAGTAAAAAAAACTGACACTAAAGTAAATATTTGGTGTAATTGGTATATTGCTAAGATATTTTTTAATAGATATTTTTAATAAAATTTTATAAGTCTTATCAGACCATTATCAGTAAAAACTTGAAAGTAAGTATTTTCACTTTAACCTTTCAGTGCTAACGTGAATTATTTAAACATACCTAAGTGCTAACGTCTCTCTCTGGGACCGGGTATTTATAAATGGCGCAATACTATCAATTTAATTCTTTTGTTTTAATTTAATTACTTTAACGGGCTTAATATATATAGTTTTAATTAAAATAAATACAGTTTTATTCAAAAATTATATTTACGGACATTTAATTTGACAATAAATAATTCCTTAAAAAAACAGCAGCTATTCTAAAAAGTGAGGAAATAAACCTTAAAATCTTACTATAAACAAAAAATTGCTCAAAATTCAAATGGTTCAAAAATCCGCGGTCGGCCACTTTTACGCAAAATTAACACATGGTATCCCTTCTTCACATTCTCTGATTGTAAGATAAATTGTCGATTTGCTTATGTTTTGATCTCGATAAATATTAACAATATCTCGTTTCGACATTCTCCCAAGCATATTATAAACGGCTCAACTAATATCAATTTCATAAGATATTTTGCAGAGCACAAACCAAAATATTCTGCCTTTGTTTATTAAATGTCAATAACTGATGACATTTCATTTCCATGGCCTTCTTTGTTAAATGCATTTTGCTTCTCAATCAGACCAGGTGAAATTTTTCCCAAAACTTTAGGACCATACGTTAGTCGCATCCTTATCATCCTTGGCGTGTTTGTTGCAGTTGCTCTACGTCTTGCATGTGGTTAAAGCAATTGCATACCCATTGTCTCTAAAAGTGTTCTTCTAAGTGTTATGCGTTGGGCCGTCCGAGCAAAATTACACTTGTGTATTGTAAATGAATTTATGCCAGCGATATTCTATATTGCATAAAATATCACCATGGGCCAACGATTAGTCGATCTTGCACAATTGTAGCTTTCACACATCTTATCAATAGTGTCCACTCCTCCTTTGGTTGCGTTGTAATCAATTATTATGTTAGGCTTACCAGTCTGTGGATCCAACGTATCATCTTCATAATGCATAGTTGACATCAGGAGCACAACTTTTTTTGGTTCGGAATATACGAAACAGTAGTGCATTTATCTTGAAATGCAAACATACTTGTAGAAGTAGGCCTATTGACAGGTGCCATAAAACTCCAAAGGCAGTTCTGGCTTATTTCTTCGAAGAGTTCCAATTATAGTTAGCTAATGATTGGCCAATAATGTATCACCTAGCTGCTTAGTGGTAAAACATTATCACATTTCTATTTGTACCCCAGATAGGTCTGCACAAACGTACTATATATATATATATATATATATATAATATATATATATATATATATATATATATATCGGTTTTAGAACGTCTTTCGACGTTGTCCGATGCCTAACTTCCACGTCCTTCTATCATCCCATTGGCCGTCTCTAAGATCTCTTGTACTCATTGCTTTAGTTACCCCTTCTTTCCATGTCTTCTTGGGTCTTCCTCGTTTTTTGCGGTTTGGTGGTACCCACTGCATAATCTTCTTGGGTAGTCTTGTGTCTTCCATTCTTTGAACATGACCATACCAAATCAACTGTTTCCTCTCAATGTCTGTTGTTAAGTAACCATCTATTCCAATTCTTCGTCTTACTTCCTCATTTCGAACTCTTTCCCTGCGGGATATACCTAACGATCTTCTAAACACATCCATTTCTACAGCTTCTAATTTTTTTCTGTTGTTCTCGGTTATTCTCCAAGTTTCTGCTCCATAAAGTAGACTGCTTTTAATTAGTGTCTCATAGATGTTATATTTTCGCTTTATTCCTATTTCAGAGCTCCAAAGTATACCATTTAGGCAGCCAATTGTTCTTCTAGCTTGTGTACAAACAAACGTACTACTAAATCCAAAGTCTTTGTGATTTACTGGTAGGGTCCCTGTGGTTGCTGACCAACATAAATTTTTAAATTTGAGGTACCTAATTTAGCATCAGTCAAGGCATATATTTTTATACCCTACCTATTTGGTTTTCTTGGCATATAAACCTTAAACCCACAGCCCCCTCTAAAAAGCTTCTAATTTTTTATCAATTGTACAATAGTTTGACATTCTGTAGTGTTTTGGCAAATTGGTGTTAAAGACTTCAAAAAAGTTTCAGATAGGAGGTAATTTATCTGTTGTTTGTCTCTCTGCACGAGCTTGTTTATAGTCAAAGCTAATAAATGCCAATAAAAATTTAAATCGCTCAGATGACATTGTAAGGCGAAATATTTCTAAGAAAGTACCGTTTTTTCTAAACAAGTCGCGAGCATTGAGATGGTTATTCTTGAACATGTATGTATAACAGGCATATAAGTGCTTTTATTTCTAGTATATCCATCTTTCCGTAGGTTCTATTCAGTGGATCAACATGTAGTTCAATTTTAATGTTTGTATTTATCACAATAAGTTCCAACATCTGCTCTGTTATAAAACAGCCCCAAATATTACTAAAAATTAATTTCTTCCTAGCACACACCTTTACACCTTGTAAATGCGTAATTTTCTGCTCGTGTACGAATTAGCTATTACCAAGATGCTTTCGCTATTTTGTTTTTTTATCCTTACCAAAAAAATATAGGAATTTTTCGGCAAATATTTTCTGCTTTTAATTAATGCAAAACATCATGTTCTGCTTCTGATATATCCTGTTCACTATCTGTATCAAAATTTTGTATTTCAACTTTATCTTCGTCAGAACTATCTGACTAACTATATACAGAAGTATCTGTAAATATTTTTGCTCCTCATCGTTCATTTCTATTTTTAAGAAGTGAAAAAACAATATTTTTTTCACTAAAAATACAACGCTAAAAGTTACAATCCTTACCTTTGGTACAACCACAAAAGCTAACATCCGTATCTGAGACTGAAATTTTGTCTAACGAACGAACTATGTATCTAAGTTTAAAAATCTTTTAAAAATAACAAGGGTTAGGTAAAATATGAAGCTATTGAGTGACCTATAGAAATATTTTTAAGTTTTTTTTGCGATGAAAAATTTGGAATTAATTAATGGTGATCGTTGGCGATCACCATTACGAAGGCTTCAAGGTGCTGTTCAAGGTATTTTCAGCATTCGTCTATGAAACCACATTTCCAATGCTTCAATTTGCTTCATGATCGATACTTTTAGCGTCCACACTTCTGCACTATACAAAAGCACAGACCAAACATAGCACTTCTATTATATACATTTTTTTATTCAATAAATAATCTAGAAATCATTGTTGACTTTCTTTTCAATAGTAGTCTAAATTATACATTATACATTATAGCGCACCAACTCCACATCGAGTTTTGATGTAAGTTTTGCTGATATTTAAGAGGGGCGGAGTCTAACGATGGATCCGTTATCAATGAACATCTCCTAATTCCTACGGAATTCTTGAATAAAATAGAAGGTTCAGGCTTGCCACGACACCGTCTTCCTCTCAAAGTAAATACTGTCATTTTACTTATGAAGAATATGAACACAGCAAAAGGTCTGATAAATTGCACTCGACTCAAAATCAAATCACTTCACCCAATTGTTTGGAATGTAAAGTTTTTACAGGACAGTCAGCTGGACAAGTGATTCTGTTACCTCGCATCAAACTTTCCCCAGCTGAAGGAACATTCAGTTTTTCAATGACGCGGCTCCAGTTTCCTGTTCAGTTGGCCTTTTCAATGACCATCAACCGTGCTCAAGGACAAAGTCTCAAGAAAGTTAGGATCTATCTTACATCACCCCGAATTCCAAGCATAAATCCGTGATATTTAGTAATTTTCTTATTCTTATGTAATTGCTTGTGATTGTATTGAACTAACTTTGATTTTAATTTTTGGACTTAATATGAATATTTTGTACTTGAAATTTAAAGTTGGTTTTTTTTTGTTTGCAATTTGGTTAATTTAGTTTAGGTTAGGTTAGGTTAGGTTAGGCTGGGCTATCTTACCGGAAGTAAATACTTCCGGTTTCATAATTCTAAATTTAATCAGTAAGTATAAGAAAAAAGTAGACGTGGGCATATTTTAAAAATACATTGAAAATTAGGACTTTAAATTTTGAAGAATGAAACCTGTAAAATTCCTATACTTTACTATAGGAAAAATTAATTTTATGGCCGCCATTTTTAAACCGGTTCGAATTTTTTAAATTTGAAACCTTAGGGAAATCTACTTTACAATCTGTTTAATTATTCAAAAACATATTCTCCTATCTATCACCGTTTAGGAGGAGTATTGTGCACAAGAAAATGGTTTAGCCTTTTAGTATATAAGATTACACATTATAAATACCTTTGTATTCAGGATGTAATTTGGAGATCGAGGTTCCTCTGTTATACATAACCTGTACACTGTACAGCCAGTATCATTAGGGATGTCGTAAATATATTGTTAAATGATACGGTTAGCAGAGCCGAATAAATATATTTCATGCGCTTTGAAGTAATATTTCACTATAAATAAACTATTGATTGAGCATCATATATGATGCACAGACGCTTTAAACATAATCCCTGTGTATCACATGCAATACATAGAATATGGAAAGGGTTAACGAAAAAAGTGCTATAGTATTGGTATTTCCATTAGAGATCAGAGGCTATTTTACATACCTAAGTGTAAAATGTAAAAGCAAATAGACTAGCACGATGCCTTAATAATACTGTATGGCAAAACACACACATTACCACTGAGATGTAGTCAAGAATTTATAAAGCCAGTGTAAGGACAATACTGACATTTGCCTCAGAAATAAAGTCTAACACAGCCACAACGCAAATGCTACTGAAAACGGCAGAGATGAAAGTACTGCGAGAAATTAAAGAAAATACGCTGAGATCGAAAGAGAAGTGAAGACATTAGAAGAAAATGTACGTTACGTTTTTTCTTCTAATGTCTTACGAAAAAAAAAGAATGAAATAATCATAATTTAGGAGACCCGTGTCGTCCAAATAGCAAGTTGCCAATCGGTAGAAGAAGTATCGGACGACCGCGCAAAAGATGGAGTGACAACCTTCCATAAAGGTATTAATCCGTCAATGAACAAGCAGAATTGCTTATAACTGCAATGCTTATAATCTACTGGGGGAATAATGGAAGTCATAATGGAATAAACTGGATACTGGGTAAAGCAAGAGCAGAAACTTATAGACATTAAATTATGCATTTCGTAATTTAGAATTTAACTTTGTAACTTTTAAGCTCTTGGTTTCTAAGGCCTGGAAACTAAATGTTTAGCTAAATACATAAGTTGTATTGATCACTATTTTCATCCATGTTATGTAGTAAAATGTATTTAAAGGTTTAATATCATCATTACTGAGAATATTTATACTAACAAATTCCAATCCTTAATCAAATTACATAAAAGCGTATCAATTCCCGAAACAATTTGTTTACGACTTCATTCTACTTCTGCCGATGATCAAATCCCCATACGTTAAAGCAAATACACGAAAGCTATTAATTCGACGACTTTCAGTCGCTTTGTCTTTAACGTTATCTTTGGTTTCTTGATAAACCACCGGTGGTGGCGGCACTGACATCCACCAATTAATTACACTTAGAGAGCTTTAAACAATGGGGGCCATACAATGCCGAGTAATTAGAGCTTTAGATCAATCTGTGAACTGCATATCGTGACGGCGTGTCGTGTACACTTCTACACCATAAAAACTTCAATGGCATAAAAATTAGGACGAATCTCTATAAATCATTTGGCATTGATTTTGAAACAAAGTGAAAATATGTGTTAAATTGTTTAAATGGGTAAAAATATATTTAAATGGGCACTGGATAAGGGTCAGATAATCTATATTTGACCCCATATTTTATTAATAAATGCACGATATTTTCTAGAGAGATCGAACAATATTTTGGGACGGGAATTCGGTTCTGCATCGATAACTATAATGTTGTATTCAATGTGGGCTCCGAATATCTTAAACATTAACAAAGTTTAATATAAGTTATAAATTGTGAATCTCAGTGATATATTGAAATAAACTGTAAGCGTACAAACTCTTTACATAATATCCAGTTAAATTAGCATTTAACTGGATATTATTTAATTATAAACTGAATAAGCTATATCAAGATAACCAAGCTTATATTAAGGTTGGAAACCAAATTTCCAAGGTTTCACCCAAACAAAGGGTGTCAAACAGGGCTCTTGCCTCTCCCCAACCCTATTTAAAATATATCTTGGTAATGCGTTTAAAATATTGGATCAGAAAATGCAGCCCAATGGGCATATGGGTAAATGACACTCCTATATACACAATCCTCTTCGCAGACGACCAGGTAGTTCTTGCCGAGGACCTACAAGATATGACGTACATGATAAACAAACTAATAGACGAATTCAAAAAATGGGGATTAGAGGTTAATACTGAAAAGACACAATACATGAATATAGGAGGCATCGGTCAAGACATGGAAACAGAAAGCGGATTAATTAAAAACGTTGATCAGTACGAATATCTCGGAGTTACACTAAGCGAAGACGGGAGAGACGACAAAGATATAACAAGAAAAATAGGAAAAGGAAAAAACATGATAAAAACACTACATCCGATCCTGTGGAATAAAACTTTAACTAAGAAAACAAAGAAAAATATATATCAGGCTATGATTCAGCCGGTGCTGACGTATGGGTCAGAAATGTGGGTCTATAACAATAATATGTCACAAAAACTCCTCTCAACGGAAATGATGTACTGGAGAAGATGTTCCGGGTTAACTTTGTTTGACCACATAAGAAATGAAAACATAAGAGAGAGAATGAAAGTAAAGAACACAATAATGGATACGATAGCCGAAAAACAATTAAAATGGTATGGACACCTGAGACGGATGAACGAAGAAAGGATACCACGAAAGGTTTGGAACTGGAGACCTACACAGAGAAATAAAAGGGGAAGGCCAAGAAAGAAATGGATATCCAATATTCATATAGAAATGGAAAATAGAGGTTTTCAAGAAGGAGACTGGGCCGATAAGAAATTATGGCGATTGGGATGCGAGAAGCGACAAAATTAAAGTTGCAAACACTCGCTATATATATATATATATATATATATATATATATATATATATATATATATATATATATATATATAAACTGGATATAATTTTAAATTGCAATTATTTGTTATTGTTGCCTTTTTTTGTATGCCCTAAATTATATTAACCTAAACAACCCAAATTAAGCTTTGTGGACCAGCAAGACGGAACTACTTCCGATTATAATGTAATATTGTTTTGCATTTGCAATGATTCAAATAGATCCGTTGAGTTCTCTTAAAATTCTAAACATTCTAAATAAACAACACAGAGTTAATGAAATTCCTTGTGCAGACTGCCCATGATCTTACATAGGCCAAACCAATCGTAGAATGTAATATAGAATTATAAATATTTAATTTTTTTTAGCAATTCCGATTCAATTTTAGCTCTAGGTCATTACCTGGATACAATTTGTTTGACAAAAATATTTGGTATTTATGTAAATATTTTATTTATATTACTTCATTATTTTATTATAATATGATCTTGTTTTATTACATATTTAAATTACTTATTATTATGTCCCATATATGATCTTTTTAAAAATTTTTGCGGTCAAACTTTTTAACACATATTAATGTATGTTAAGTTCTGAGAAACCACTTGTCTAAATCCGCACACGTTTTAGGGAACTATTAACTTAATCCTTTTACAGTACAGAAACTCTTTTAGAATATCAAATTTCTTAAAATGACAATGAATTTCGTAATTCTGTAATAAAGGCTAGAGATGACAGCTTTATTTTATTACGGCCTATCTTCCGAAAATATCCATTAACCACCTACCATAGAGTTGGTCCGT